GCAATTCAAGCTAGGGAGTAAAAATGGCAAATTCGGTGTCTTACCTCCAAATCAATAATGAGTTCAATGAATCTCTCGCAGTAATGTACTTTGTCCATGGATACAGGCTCTTTGGAAAAGGAAGGAAATAATGGAAGTTAGCACTTCACATCAGATCAGGAAATGCATGTTATCAATGACAACGTAATCTGACAGACAAGCAGACAAGCAGACATGACGATATGAACATACAAGGCCAAAAAAAAAAGATAGGGAACGATAAGATGTAGCAGTGGAAAGGAGGTTGTGTAGTCCTCACCAAGGATATGAGGAAAGCAAACGCATGTGGACAACACCGAGGTGCCATGCTGAGTGTGTGAGCCTCACTATGAGATACCGCATTGCTAGCACAGCAGCATGCTGGGACCTCAGCCCTCATTAAGAATGTCAGTGTGTATGTGTGTGTGTGCACTTAAAGTTGAGGCATGTAGCAAGCATTAGAGTGATGTGGATCCTGCTGGGCTTCAGACTGTAATCTACTCTGTCAGGTTTGAATTCTACCTAAACACACAAATACACGTTCTGTTTTTAGCATTCAGGTGGGGGGCTTCTGTGTCGGCCTGCATTACAACATAGTAGTCTGTGCCGGTGGCTGTATGGCAGCTGGAGCACATGCTCCTTCAGCAGCTGCACGACTCAGAAAGAAAGGAGGGAGTACTGAAATAAGGATGATAAAGGGTAATGTTGTGTCTCATAATGGCAACATGGGCCCGGACTGAAGAGATGTGCTCCCTGACACTGAGAAGGCTCCAGAAAAGCCTAAGTAGATTTATCATGCTGAGAAAGGTACACAGTGCACATGCAAAGGCCTGCTTTGGACCAAAGTCACAGGGAGAATCCACTGGATCATTAATTATATTCAATATGTGAAGGTACAAATAAACACCAGGGATGCACCATTGTTTTGTTGTTAAAATAGGACGAAGAACTACTTTTTTCCCCTGTTTACCTGTTTGTGGAATTGACATGAGAACTCCAAGAAACTTTTTAATGAGAGAGGAGAGGAAGGCTCTCTCTTTTTTTGCCCTGAAGAAGACACAAAAAAGCAAATCAGAAAAAGCCTGGAAACTCATAGAACACAAAACAAAATCTCCTCATATTAGTATAGATCTGAACACGCAAAGAAAATAATATTACTGCTCAGCTGCATCAGCATCCATCTTATCAAACTTCTTCTTGATTAGATTCCAGAACTTCTGCAGCTTTGGAACTTTCTTAAGCTCGTGTTGGAGTCTAGACTGCAATCATAATAGAAACAAGTGAACAAAACCGTCAATTTTACCTCAGAATTAGTGTCATTGCAAGGAGGCAAATAATCAAACAACATCATTACTCGGTGTGTGCCAATAAACAGAAAAACTTAATTAGTGAAATAGATTGACATCTTACTGGTAGGAGGCACATCCACATTGGCAGAGAGATGAGCTGCTGTACCTGCTCTCTGATCAAATCAACCTCCTGGGCGGGAGGCGCAGAGAGAGAGAAAGAGTTGTCAAAATGTACTGTGCATGACAGATTTTTATTACACATCAGCCCATAATAAAAGTCTGCAACTAAAATATTTAGAGGCCTTTATAGGATACAGTCAAAGTGCAGCAGGCTATCACAGCAGATTTTTAAAGTGAGACATCTGCAGTGCTTCCCTGTGGTTTAATGCGGCTGTGGAGTATACAGATGGGTGGGAGCTTACCCAAGTTGTACTGCCTAGTCTACTACTGCCACCCAGTGGACATTACAAATAAATGCCGTAATTTCCACATTTATCTTGGGCAACAAGGCATTTTGGCATTGCTTACATTAATAAATAAGAAGCAATTTAAACCTCTTTAAGACAAAACCATTTGCTGCAACGTCTTCCGTCTTTCAGTCCTTGGACACAGCATAAGAATATACCACAGTGAACTAAAGTACAGTTGCTCCTTACTCATGATGGTGCTGCGATAAGCAATACAGATTTTTTCAAATAAATCTGTTTAACCTAAGTTGAGCAGAGAAATAATTTTACCTTAAACCATGTAAGTATTGTAATCAAAATATAAGCCGTTTACTGTTTTTTTAATATGGATATCAGTGTAGTGACACGCACCAGACTGTTGAAACAATGGTCCAGGAAGACCAGCAGAACTGTTTGTTCCTTCAGAGTGAGGCCTGCCTCCTCGCCTGCCAATACAGCTTCCATCACACATTTGAAGAAGAATGGGAAATGGCTTGGCTCCTTCTTGAACACCTGATACATACCAGAAGATACAATTGTGTTTGAATGGTAATTGTAAAGAAGTAACTTATATAAACATGCTCTCTTCAGAAGCAATTAACCTAAACTTAGTTGAGGCACCACAATTCTTACCTCCCAAGCTGGGACATTCTCTCTGAACTTTTCATTGACGATGCAACAAATGGACATGAGGTAGGCATTGCTGGACACCTCAGGAGTGTAGTTCACCCACAGGTAGTTCTCAAGATACTGGCTGAAATATGAGAAAATAATTGATGAACATCTATCTATACATCTTAATCACTGGCTGCTTCATAAAAACATGGAATAAAAGGAGGTCAACTCTCTCACCTGAACTCAAGCAGCATAATTTTTCTGATGGCAAATCTGAAAACATATGGGAAAGAAGACAACAGATCAAGATTAGGAAGTGTAAGAGGTGTTCAGTGGATTAAACAGCAGTTCAAAGGAACAGTTCAGCCAAAATATTTTTTGCTGATATTTTCCGCTTGTGGTGCTCAAAGCGCCAAAAAAAACTACATTTGAAAAACTCAACAGCAATGTCTCTTTCCAGAAATCATGACCTGGTTACTCAAGATAATCCACAGACCTTGTTGTGAGCAGTTTCATGTGTCACTGCACAGAAGCACGTGACACATCTACTCATGGACGAGAGACTCATGCCAGCACAGGATGTAAATATCAATACCATCTTCCTCAGCTGAGATGTAATGTTAGCTGGCTAGCGTTGCACCACTGAGGTAGCGTGCGGTCGCTATGGCTGACATATGTAGTAGGACTTGTAAGAAAATGGTTACTAAATGTAACTGCTCACAACTAGGTCTTCAAATGCAGTTTTTGGCGCTTTGAGCTTCACAAGCTAATATCTGCAAAACTCAGCAACTCACACCAAAACAATCTAGATGGATAAATAGCTCCACAGGTAATTAGAAAAAGGTGTTATTTTGATATTGTGGTGAAAGACGCTATATATTTACTTACTTGGACTTGAGAATCTCTTTTTCGTAAACATCTTCCATGACCTAAACAAACAGCAAATAATGTTAGTATATTGGGGGTTAGGGCAAACACAGAGGACCCCCACCTAATGCAACATAAAACAACAAGTGTGTTTAGGTTGAGCTCACTGACTGGTAAAAGCAGCACTTTCAACCTCTTTACCATTTTATCAAACTAAGTGATTAAAATACATTTTAGGTAGAACCAACAGACATGTAAATAACACAATTATAAATACAGCATACACAACTTGAACCTCTAAGATGCAGCAATGTATTTCACTCACCTTAGGGTCAAATGGGAGTTTATTCTTCGCATGAGGAGCCCAATATTTATTAGCCAGCTGAAACAAGAAAAACAAACAGTAAACATGGCAGCATGTACACTCAGTTTCATTTAGCTGCACAGAAGTTGCTACAAAATGACGCATTACAGGGTGGTGCATGGCTGGCAATATCAGACGTTCAACAAGTTTTATTATGGCTTTCTGGATAGGATATAATACTCTTTAACTTTATTACCGAACCAACTTATACTGACATTCTTTTAGACCAAATATCATGTGATACACATCACAAATCCTCAACCCATCTGTCATAGATATACACTGCGGTCTTGCCCAATCTCCCCTTTCCACACATTAGTTCTTTATATATGTACTAGATTGACACAGGATGCAGTAAACTAACCTTATATGTAAGTACACTTCAAGTACACTTCACAGACTTGACCAACTACAGGTAAACATACAAACTGACTGCAGGTAAGGAACAACCTTACCGTCTTCAGCATAAAAACAACATGGTAAAACTTATTTCAACACATTGCTAGTGATGGACCACATGTGTAATGTACATTTACAATTACCTGTGTGACATATTCAGCATTAATCTGAGACACAGAAGGCGCAGCAGCCTTTTTAGCGGGGGTTTCTTTCTCCATGGTGGCCATCTCAAGCAGTTACAATGGCGACTGTCAGAAAAAGAGAGACAATTACATATTGTGTGAAGGTAATCGTAACTAGCCATTAACACCAAAAGGCTTCGGACTTAGCTTTTTGTACTGAACTCGTACCTTTAAAATAATGCGGCCACTAAACGCAAGAACAGTGCTGAGAAAGTTAACGTAGCTAGCTGGTTTAAAAACTTCAGCAGGTGAAGTCAATTGGTTAAATGTTATTCTAAACACAATTACTCAAATACGTACCCGATACGTCAAAAAACAAGTCATACCGGTTGCTATAACGTATTATCATTAACAAAACATCGTAAAATGCTAGGTTAACATTATTAAACGTTAGCTGTTTCACAATATCAGGCGCCGAGCTAAGCTAATTAGTAGCATTTAACAGTTAGGAGCTGACTCGGAAATTATCTGAAGATAGCGTTGCTGCTAGTCTTATTGTGTATGTAAAAAATATATGAAAAAGTAAGCCTACAAACCTTTCAGTTTATTTAGACATGAGTGTGACTGCAGAGGGACGGTTACGCATGTACACAACCAAAACGCGCTGAATGCGACTGACTTCCTGAATGGGTACGTCCCTAAAATGCTCCCCGAGTACAAAAGCATTTTTCCGTTCCTACTTGTGAAAGTTCTTATATTTCTCTAAAACAACTAAACTAAGTCTTAACTAAAGTACGAAAATCCTTGTAAAGTAGTTATCTTTTAAACATTTCAATATCAAATATGTACAGCATGAACAAATTTAACAAGACGCACTAAATACTATTTGAAACACGTTTAATTTATGAAATACAGAAGATATAAAAAAAATAGTACCTACATTATCATCTAGTGCACATTATAATACATCTTTTACATACAGTATGCACAAAAATCACATTAATGACATATCATGATCATCATAAGCACAATTTCACACAAAAACACAAACATTACACCTTTTGATTATCAGTGAGTCAGTCGGTGTGTTCTGACATGTGCCGACTGTGTGAACGTTTTGCCACAAATATCACACCTAAACGGCCTCTGACCTGTGTGGATAAAATAATGCCTTTTAAGTTTAGAGGGAGACACAAAATCTTTGAAGCAAATGTCACAGCGATTGTTCGGGGTCGTTTTAGGTTGAACTTTAGTTGAACAAATGTGTAGCTTCAGATCGTTTTCACTCGTAAAACTTGCAGAGCACTTGTCACACTCAAACACAATTAGTGGCTCACACCAGTAATTATCTGCCTGCATTTGAATCTCAACCACAGAACTCACACATTTATCACTGAGCAACCTGTTGCGATCTGAAATGGCTGTAACTCCTTTAGGCTGACATGGTAATACTATATTGTGTGCCCTGCCCTCGTGGTGATGTGACAAAGGTGGAGCTGCCATATTCTGATTTTGGACAAGCTTATTTATTTCAAAGGTAAGTTCAGAGGGAAATGAATAACTGTGATGATCTGTAGCCTGATCACAGTTGTCTAAAGCCTCATTACATTTTTCTCTCTGCTTTTCCTCTGATTCATTACGCTTCTCTTGTAAGCCTACTTCTGGCACTGCCAACCATTCAGTGTCTCTAGCCTCTGAGAAATAAGATAAATCTCCATCAGTAAATGAGTAATGACCAACAGTGGTATAATGTGACTCTGGCTGCTCTGTTGTTGCACCCACACTAAAATCAGTACAATCAGTAAGGTTTTCAATGCATTGAACCTGGAGATGGTTCGGATTTAGCATTTCTCCTTGAACATAATGTGACATCCTGTTACTCTGTCTGCATTTGTACTCGTGAATTTTTAGGTGTCCACGCTGTGTGAAGGTTCTGCTGCACAAAGTGCATTTGTACGGCCTTATCCCAGAGTGAGTGACCAAGTGCCTTGAGAGCTTATATGGAGAAAGAAAGTTCTTAAAGCATATTCGGCATGTGTGACATTTCCTCTTTTTACAAGTTACGTTACTTTTACAGTTTGTCTTAAAGAGACTGTTCACTTTTGTAATGCATATTTCACGCCTGGTGCAGAGCGTCTCACTCACTCCGTTACATACAACACCCTCAAAATTTGAAAGTGTAGTGTTTATGTTCACAGGTTTTTTCTTTGGTAGGATATGGACACTGATCCTTGGGTAAAGCTGCTGTTGACTATTTACTTTCAGTTGTCTGCTGTTCCCCTGTTGATTGAAGGGCTTGGATGGTTTCTTCTCACAGTGAGTTCTTTCATGGGTTTTCAAATGTGGAGCTTGCCTGAATGCTTTCCCACACAAAGCACACTGAAATGGTTTCAGTCCTGTGTGTACCATCTCGTGCCTTTGTAATTTAGAGGCACTCTGAAAACACTTTAAACACCGGGAGCACTTGTGTCGTACGTGACCTGGATTTTGCGTTGATTTAGCAGTTTGTGTCCTTTTCACAGTCACTTTAGAAAACTTTCTCAGGTGCGCCTCATTTTCCTTTGAGGCGTGTGGCTCGTCAACTACGTCACTGCCAGTTTGTCTCTCAAAATCCTTCTTATGCATTAACATTTCCTGGACGGGGACATCTGCTGCACTCCTTACATTAAACCCACCTACGCAAGAAGGTGGCCGATTGATATACAATGATCGTTGCTTGTGATATCTGGACCACAGGTGAGTGCGGCAGTGGACCCTCAGGTGTGTTTTCTGACGAAATCTCTTTCCACACACCTCACAGCCAAAGGGCCTCTGCCCAGTGTGAGTCAGTATGTGCCTTTGAAGTTTTGATACAGATGGAAAACATTTCAAACATGCATGGCACTGATGTAAAGTGTTACTTCTCTGCTGCTTCCTGGTGGCGTGGTAGGTTTCCCTCTGCTGTTCTTCTGATGTAATTATCTCAGAATCCTGAAGAAGAGAGTCATTGGGATCATTGTTACTCCATGTGTCTGATGTAACATAGATGTTCAAGTCAATGGGATTTGCATGACTGGGTTCAGGTTTTATTGCATTTGCAGACATTTTCACATTATTTCCCAATTCTTTTTGGTTGCTGTGAATTTTATGATGGCGTAATAAATTAACTTCCAACCGAAATGATCTGTTGCAGATTACACACTGGAATGGTTTCAAGTCTTTATGTGTTCGGTGTTGCTGCTCTTGTTCATGTGACTTATGACAAAAACTCTGACACCGACTGTCTGTATTTAATAGTTGCTCTGGTTTTACAGTTGCATCTGACCTGATTTCAGTCTTGTTCAGGTCCTGCACAGCGTTTACACTTATTTTACAGCGAAGCTCCAGTTCCACTGCTGAACTCTCAGGATTGTGATGGCTGATGGGTCGTTGTTGAAGTGATGACCGAGGCGGCACAGTGGAGGTTTGTCTGCTGTCACAAAACCTCAGTTTTTTCCTCTCAGTGCCGGCAGAAAGTGAACATTTATTTGCAGTGCTCAAATGAGATTTCAAGTGTACCTTCTGTCTGAAGGCTTTCCAGCAGATCATACACGAGTAGGGTTTCTGCCCCGTATGAATAAGAAAGTGCCGCTTTAATTTGGATGGCGAACAGAAGGTTTTGAGACATTTAGGACACTGGTGTTGCAAAGTAATTTTGCTTGTGATGGAGCTCAGTTCTTGAGACTGCTGGTGCACCTTCGAACAGGCCTTTTGAGAGAAGGTCTGTCCCAACTCTCTGCCCCACTCAAATTGTTTTGGTTTGTTATGAGTTGTTGAGTGAATCCGAAGGTGAAGGGATGAAGGAAATGACTTCAGGCAGACTTTGCAGGTGTATCCATCGTGAGCACTGCGTACCGAAGTGTCTACATTTGCAGAATCAACTTGCTCACTTGGTATTGGAAGATTTGAGATACTGTCCTCAGTCACTGAGCCATCATTTACATAAGGCACATTTTTTGGTGGTTTTCCAGTCTCAGAGGAAGGAACACAAATTTTGTGACTCACAATTTCCCTTTTCCGCTCTGTCTGGGAGGTCGCAGAGGCGGACACAGTCGGGAGCATTGAAGTGTAGTTACTACAGCCATGTGTGGTAATCCCTGCAGCTGGTCTAACACAATTTGGTTGTTGTTGATGAGTTAAAACTCCACTTTGAAGACGGTCTGTAGGAAGCCTTGAATGGTGGACATTCTGCAAGTGTGTTTTCAAATGCTCGGACTGCGTGAAGGCTTTTCCACAGATCTCACAGTTGAAGGGCTTCTGGCCAGTGTGGATGAGATAATGTCTCTTGAGTTTATATGGCGAAGGAAAAGCTTTTGGACAAACAGAGCATTGATGCATTTTCAAATCGCCACCGAGGTGATCCTCTCATCAGACCTAGGGCAAAGCATATGGCATTAAAACATGGAAATGGAGGTCAAGCATAAAGGAATTCCCATCAGTGCAGCTGGCAATAGAAAACAAGTAGTTAACTTAAATAATGATTACTATAATGCAGCTAACCTTGCTAGAATCCATACTCAAATACTGTACAATGTCTCATTATGTTTGTGAACGTATAATATGTATTAAGTCTAACGTTACAATACGTTACTGCCAAAACATTACCACGCTACAATGTAAGTCCAAAGTACTTACTATTTGTGTTTGAAGTCCAATTACAACTAACGCTAATTCGTTATAAGTTGAGTGTTTTTCTGTGGCTTGTTAGCTTTCTTGCTAACGATGTAACAACCTCATACGTCACTTAGGCAACAAGCCTGTACGTCTCTCAAAATGTACGACGAGAAACAAAGATGTTCGGTTCCTAATGTCTGTCTATCTGTCGTGATATTTCTTTCTTTCTTTCTTTTTAAGTTTGACGAGATTGATGCTATGCGAAATTACACAGTTATACCATTATAATGCTAAAGCCACCTTAAAGACATATTCTTAAATAATACGTGCAAACAATCAACTCAGAATAAAAAACTGCTATTTTCATTTGTTGGTTAAACAACATACTCAACACAAAAGTTAAATACATAAAAGAAAGACAACTCGTGTTCTTTTTCATTTTGTGTGCAAAAATATTTAGCACATATCAAACCTTGCTCCTCTACCTGCCACAGGAATGAGAGACTTTACTGTAATGATATCTGTGGCCTCAACACTTGACACATACTGCCTAATGCTGTTATTGTGGATCCTAACAATCCAAAACACCATGCAATACAATACCACATTGCAATTTGACCAAGGACAACCTTACACATTAAAAGTGCTGGGCCTCTCACACAACCACAGTCATTAGGTAGTATTGATTACGTAGAAATACAATTGTGTAAAATAAGACCTCATTCCCTTTTATTAATAAAAACAAAATTATATAGACCTTTATCACATTCATGTCTTGAATGATTGTGATCAAAGTCTATGTACTGTACATCATCTGTATGTGCAATATATCCATCCTACAGAGTATGTCGTGTAGAAAGTGGATTAATTATACATACAATGTACAGTATACACGTTACCTGTTCAGATTGCTCCAAAAGCGATATGCCTTCTATCCCCCAGGGAAGGGCTGTGTCGTAAGCAGCAGGCAGGTGGGTTCGCAGTCCCCCACCCCTGTTAACTGAGGGTTTCTCTAGTTTGATATAGTACTATATGACCCTGTTTACTCCCCATTTATTGTAAACCATCTGTTCCCACCAGTTCATTTTGGTCGTCAAACGTTTATTTATTATTCTGTAAATGGATCAACAATTCAGAGTTCTAAGCTGAGGGGTTCTCTTTTCAATGCGGTGCTGAGTGTTTGTTTTGTTTGGTTTTGTCAGTGTATATACAGTATCTATGCCTCTCCAACACTGTGTCAGTGTTTGGGCAGGTTTGAAAAATATAAACGTTACATTTTGCACAAGTTCTATGGGACTTCTCGGGGGTAATGGGGAGATGATATGATTCCATTTCGTGTTGTGTCTAGATTGAGGTGTTTGGTCTGTGAACCTAGTTTAGTCTAGCAAGACCCAGGCAGGGTAACCGCAGGTTTTCAACCCCTGTTGGATGTGCTGCTTTTCCTATGGTTTTCGCCTCAGTGTTGTTGATATTTATTTTCCAGGAATGTGGATGATGAGAATTAAAGGTATATCGATATGTGTGGGTGGGTTTTCTACTTTGGCTTTACCTTATTCCAAGGATACTGCACAGCCCAGGATAGCCAACAGGCTGTTCATCTTGTAAACAACCTGACTAGTGAAGTAGAAGTGACATTGATAAGTCGATAAAAAAAAAAAAAGAATCACTACCAATTTTGATTGAATATCTTTGAGTCTTAGACTGTGGGTCAGACAAAACAACTCATTTAAACATCTAGGAAATTGTAAGTAATTGGTGTAATAAGGTGTTACAGTGCCACGGCCTTAGTACATTGGCACACCTGCATGGAGCGGAGCCAACGTTACACATGTGCTTTCCCTGTATGACAAGTAAAAATATTTTAGTCTCATCTGAAAATCTGGTTGAACTGGACTATTGAATTGATCTAAACTCTGCTTACAGTCATGTAAGCAATAGGCCTTTTTTTACAGTGGACATTTTGACAAGTCATAGCAGGGAGACACTGACGTAACCTTAACCTTAGCCGCACAGGTGTAACTAAGAACATTAAAAATGCAGTGTTTGTGTTCTGTTATTGTGTCCTATTAAGCCATTGTGACAGTGACCCAAGGCCATAGTTAATTATTATTTAATTAATTATTTACACTATAGTGCTTTTCCTACTGTAACATGTCAACATGTCTTATGAGTATAAGCCCTATGTTAGAGCACCATACACAATAAATTGCATAACACAGAAAGTGGAGGAAAGCTGTAATGTGCATTGCAAAATAGTAATCATGTTTATAGGTTTATCTATTAAAATAAAAATTAAAGATACTTCACAATAAGGTAGAAATAAAGCAAAAAAATGGTTTAAATGTCATAAATATTGTTTTAAAACCCACACACATAAGGTGCACATATCTTAAACATTAAAATAGTGAAAATGTCAATATTAAGAAATATTTAGAAAATAATTCAATATTTTAGGGTCTTAACATGAAAACTGAAGACAATATTTCAGTGATCTATTAGAGATGAAGGTAAAATATTTATAATATAATAATAGTGAATAATAATATTTTTAATAATATTATAAAACAATTTTTTAATGCTCCTTAGCTTAATTTAAATTGTAGCATTCAATGTATTAGTGGAAATACTGTGCAAATAGAATTGAAAGCTTGTTTGCGTTTAAGTTGCACTATTTATGTTGACCACAAGAGGGCAGCAGACACCACTCAATAGCCTGAAATGGTTTGCCAGTTCAGCAGATAGAACAAGTTTCATGAAGTCAGGGCTGTGACCATAAAGACATGCTTTCGTAATACATCAGGGGAAGAAAACAATACATTATGAAACAAAAATGATTCAAACATGAAAACAAACAAAACCGCAGTCACTGAGGCAAACAGACCACAATGTCAGCAGATGTCTCGTGCACCAAGGCCGCTCCTAAACCGGGCTCCCCTACTGTAGCCCACTGCTATGGGGAAAGAGAGTCACACGCATCAGCCTGGTTAGCCTGGAGGAAGAAACACACAGTTAAAGTCCATGTGCAAGGCCACAATGACAAGGGCCGCAGGCTGGTACACTGCACACAAAGGACAATGTTAGCCACAACAGCCAGTTTGTTTGAGAGTGGTTGCAGGTCAGCTTGGTAGAAAATGTACATTTGACAAAACACATGAGAAAACTAAATGTCACCCTGTCTTTATTCATTTTGTGAGGAAACACAGCGGTGAAGAGACAAAGAAATGTGTCTGCCATAGGCCATCACATTGGCTATGATGAGGGTGTGATGATATACTTGTGGCTTTGCCTGTGTCTGTAAGAAAACATGCCCACTGAAAGACAGAATGTTATGTTTACAGTGAGAATTGACAAGCCTTTGTCTTGCACTGAATTTTAGTGGCAGAGCTCCTCTGTGTTTACTGAAATGCTGAGTCTTGTATTTGAATGTTTTTTTACATATGAATTCCTATAATTTAACTGTTCCAACAAGAAAAAAAACACATGGATTCGAAAAAGAATTGTAATATTTATGTTACATTTTATTAAAGTACATTTCCAGTTCCTGTCGTTATTCTTCATTCTCATCGCTCAATTTGAACAAAAAGATTTTTCAACCTTCGTTGTAAACCATTATTAAATCCGTAAGACTGCTGAACATACATGCTTGTTCAGCAGAGTCTTGTTTGGCCACATCCTTCTTTTCATTCAGACTGTTACACTCATTCAGAAATTAATAAACAAAAATATAAAAAGTAATTTGACAAAGAAAACACTCTTGGAGGAATGTCTTATACAAAAATTTGACTATTTGTGCCACTGCCAAATCTGTAGCTGCTTTGTGGATGTAATTCCAGTGTACCTGACTGAGGTGTAAAAGCACATAATAAAAGTACTTTATTAAGAAAATACCCATATCTTAATGCTTATCAGACAGCTGCATCACTCAAAAATTCTGAGTCTCCCCCTGGTAGGGCCCTTTAAAGCCAAAAAGGTGAACATTAACACACACTGTATATTTATGGGGCATTGGCTTGCTCGCTCTCATAAATAATTGCGTGTTTGTGTTTTTCAACCCTCAATAAAAAATCTTCAGGCTCTATTGGTTGCCTCTATTGTTCAATTTTTGATAACAACAATCAAAACAACATTGCGGTGGGTGAAGATCAATAGCCCACTCCACTCTCCCGCCATTACAAGAGCGATGAAGAGAATAGCCGGAGTGAAGATGCATTCCACCTCGGATCATCAATACGGTTCATGATCTTTGAGAAAAGAAATGTTGCAGGAGCAATTGTTAATAGTGCTATTTTCTTCCCACATCGTCACACTGTGTCCATTGACACTCCCCAATACACACACACTACAACACACACCTGCCCTGCAGCTGTGTGTTGTAGTGTCCCCTCTCCTATTAACCAGGTTGCCTTAGAATCAATAGAAAACATAAAGAGGCTTAATCTTTTCAGGTGCTCTGCGCTGATTGCCTATTACACAATAATAACACACCTTGAATCCCATGGAGCATGAGAGGGAGATACACAGTCACCTCATCCGCACACATTACACACAACCACAAACCAGTCACACAGTAAATCTATAGGTTTACAACTGAACAGATGGTGTCAGCGGTGGCGCTAGGCCTTTATGAGGGGTGTTAGCTGGCGTGCTAAGAGAAATTCCACCAGAAACAGTGGGATATCAGGGGATACAGTTTATCGCCTCATGGGATGAGACACTGCTGGTGTCTCCTTTTGTAGACTATGGTCTCGAGTCTTCTGGTATGCAGCCTTAGCTTATAGAAGTTCCGTTAGACTCATCTCTGAGGCGGAATAGCAGCTGCTGCAGTATACAACTCTAGGGGAAGACAAGGTGAATTACTAGCCTAAGTTCTGGGATGTGAAGTGGAATAAACACATCCTCAAAACCGCACATGACCAAAACCACTTGGAGACAGACACAGCTTTGCATTTCAACAATTAGCAGTGACAAACAGTCAAAATTCAGGAGCAGTTATGCAGTTTTTCTTTTCCACATTCACTGATGTCCTGTTGTAAGTCATTAGGTGTTGGGGCTGTCAGAGTCGCGCCTCCAGAAAAGCCCCACTGAATTCCAGTGCTGTGATGACTGGAGTCTGGTTGTTGACTCTGGCTG